GTGTCTCCTTCCTGGTCAAGCTTGGCTCAGCCCCTCTGCACAGACAATATGCCAGTGTGCTTTAATTGTGTGGCTTAAATGGCTGTGTGTGTGTGTGTGTGTGTGTGTGTGTGTGTGTGTGTGTGTGTCTGTCTGTCTCCCTGTCTCTCTGTCTCTCTCTCTCTCCCCCACCACTTCTCTCTCTGTCTGTGTCTCTCCCTGTCTCTGTCTCTCCCCTCTCCCCCCTCTTCTCTCTCTCTGGCTGCTAGAGAGAGAGTAAAACAAAGAAACCTGTGAGCAGAAGCGCCCAGGCCCTCTCCAATCCTGCCATCCATGGATTCTAATTTCATTCTTACTAATTAGGAGTGAGAGACAATTTAAATCCAGCACCTAGCATCCTTGGTGTGTGAACAATGGGAAATAGCTCCTCCTTATGACTTCCTGAAGACCCCATGAGTGAGGAGAAAACGCTGGAATCAATGGCTGCTCTCCTGCAGCCTCCCCTGCTGTGGGCGTCCATATTCATTCTAGGTTTTAAATTTTCATGTTGATGTTTATGGGCTGCCATTAGGTGATGCGATCTCTCCCGAAGGTTGGTTTTTCATTAACTTAACTCATTTTACTTATTAGCTGGAGTTTAATAAACAGGCCGTACAGAGTCATACAACAGTCTTTCTCTTTAATAATATTTTAAGATCAGACTTCTCTGAGTCATCACAGTTTATTGGCTTGCAACTTGCTTCTCCTGGGATGCGAGGGCTGATGAGACCCGGAGAGACCAGCCTGGCTGTTTGATCTTGAGCATGAGTGTCCTTTGCCACGTGGGAAGGCATGCTGGGCGTAAAATCAATAGCACATCACCCAGCACTCAGCATCCATCACTGCTCACCCAGGCCTTGCTGTATTTAAAGTGCTTGGTTGAACTCTAGAACTCTATGAGATGGCTGAATTTTTCCTATTTAATGAGGAGCAGGGTGGGAAACTGAGGCCCAGAGGTGTGAAATGCCTTCCTCTAGCTTCCTCTAGGCTGCACAGTTGGCGGCAGTGACAGACCGGGCTGTGAACCCCACAGTTCCTTGTCTTCCTTCCCATGGGGTCTCTGGCCCATCTTGGCTTGCCTTAGAGTCCCTCCACAGCCCCTGTCTTCCAGAACCTCTCTATGCCCGGCCTCCTAGGCCCCCTACCCTCTGTCCACCCTCTCTTCCTCTATTTCCCCTTCCCTAGGCTCCCTGCTGTCTCCAACCTGCCTGATGCACGTCTCTGCTCCACATCCTCCAGTAGTTCCCCATTGCCTGTGATAGCTCAGCATCCTCAGCCTGGAGTTCAAGGATCCAAGTCACTGGCCTCTCTCTGCCTGCGTCATCCCCAGCTGGCCACCGTGGCACATGGCCGTGGCACACGTCATCCCACATCTGGGCACTGGCATGCTTTCCTCATCCTTGTCTCTGCCACAGCGCCCTTCTCTAATTCTCAGACATTCAACTCTGCCCTTTGCTCTGAGAAACCTTCCCGGTGCCCGTCTCCCCTCTGAACTCAGCCACATAATTCTTAACTCTCTCCTCCTTCCTACACTTGGGCGGTCTCCTCCCCTGGGCTCCGGGCTCCATGGAAAGCAAATGTACCCTCTGGAGTTCCCCACACAGCAGGTGTTCAATTAATGCTTTCCAAGTGAGTGAAGATTCTTGTTCCTCCAGGCTCCCTGGGTATTGAGCTTGAGATCAGGCCCTGAACACTTAGGGAAAGGCTCTGTCCAGGTTCCCTCTGCTTCCGGCAGTGTGGTCAGCCTCTGTCCCTCCCTCCATCCCTTCCGCCATCCTTCTGTTAATTTCATCCCATCCCTTCATGTGCTTCTCTCCTCTCCCAAGGCTGATCTTCCTCCTGGTCATCAGCTCAGACATGAGCCACTCTCTTTTTTCCTCTTGCCCAAACCTTGTGTGACCCCTTACCATCTCCTGCCGCTGGAAGGGCCTCTGGTGTCTAACACGTCATCCCAGCGAGGCCTTGAGGAGTGTGAAGTAAGAAAAACAAGACATGGAGTTGGGGAGCTGTGTGCCTCGCTATAGTTCTGTCCCTTTTTGTTTTAACTGTGCTTGGGCTAGAACCAGGGCCTTGTGAATGCAAGGGAAGTTCTTTACCACTGAAATGTATCTCCAGTCCAATTCTCAGTTTTGTGGAAGGGGAAACTGAGGCCCAGGAGTGAGAGAGGGGTTTCCATAAAGACATGGTAAGACCTTTGGTCAAGGCTCACTGGGAATGCTAGACTGCTTCTTTGGCCTGTGCTGGCCTCTGGGATGGGGACCACAGCCCTTCATAGTGTGTCTCCACTCTGCCTCAGGCATGTCTATAGCACAGAGCTTGCACAGGCTCAAATAGCTCTTGCCTGCCATGATCCCACAGGCAACAGAGGCCAGGGTGAGAATGCAGAATTGGGGCTCCACTGGACCCCTCTTCCTTCTCAGCACTTGTGAAGTTCCCTACACCAGCCTCCATCTGCAGGACCAGTTTCCCCGGGCTGGACAGGCCACCCACGGGTGGAGATGCTGAACCAGGACCAATGGAGGCTGAGCAGCAATGAGCAGCAGTGCAGACCAGGACCTGTGAGGGTCCATGAGGACCTGTGGGGACAGACCTGGATCACAGAGGCTGTGTGGCTGTGGAGTGACCTGAGGCTGTGACTATCACACCCTGGCACCTTGTTCCACTGGACCATGTCCCCTCCAGCTGTCCCTTCCAGGGTCAGAAACTTCACTTTGTGATAAAGATGGCCCACATGCACGACATGTCCTGTTCAAACTTGGAACCGCCCATCCTCACTGCCCTGTGTCCTGGTGCACACATGTGTGTAACACCTACGGTATTCTAGTCACAGTCTTTTTCCAACACACTTGGTGTTGGAAAAACACCACATGATCTGCTCCCACAGTGAGCAGATCATGAAACCATGCACAACTGTGTCTGCTGATTTGATCTCTCTGAGCCTCAGTTTCTCATCCATAAAATGGGAAAGACAATACCATGAGGATTAAACGAGAAGTCTGTGGCATGTGGAGACTTTCCCATCTGTTCAGTCATGGGCTTCTGCCCTGCCCCAAGAACCTGCAGAAGCAGATAGAGGGTGTAAGTTACCTTTCCCAGATGGAGAAATCAAGGCACCTGCAAGCTAGGAAATCATGCAGTTTAGCTTGGCCTTGGGACCAGAACCTTGATTCCCCACTGCACATCCCTGGAGGACCTGCTGACACCACCACACTCTGGGAAGAAGACCCCACCCCAGGTCACCTCCTTGTCCATGATTTATGTCTCAGGTGGCTTGAGGGGTATGGGAGCAGGTAGGCAAGAGCCCCCAAAATAAGCCTCTTCAAGTGTGTGTGGGGGGGATAGAGAGAAGAGGAATGCTGGGGAGAAGTCCCCCCCCCCCAGAGACTGAGAGGTCAAGGCTGGAGTGGGGACAGGGACAGTGGAGTGACATCCAGAGGTTCATGCCATACCCTCCTCCAGAGACAGTCTTCCTGGTCCCCTCACTCCTGCAGCTGTTTGCTCCTTTAGAATGCCCCTTTTGAAAAGCTGGGACTATTGAGGGCCTCCTGGACCCTCCCAGTTCTCGGCTCTGGTTGCCTTCTGGTGCGGCATTAGCACCAGCTTGTGGAGTGCTAACGACATTTTTGCGACATTTGCATTGTGCTGGCTGGTGAGAGGTGGTGCTTGGTAGCTAGGGTAGAGGGCATCACTGGCAGGTGGGGGATCGGTGGCTCAGAAAGAGGGCCAGGCAAGCCGCGGGGAGGCCGAGATGGCCTGTGAGGGGGACACTGGGTAGAGGGAGGAGCAGCTGGAGGACTTGAGAGTTATGTGTGCCTAAATATTTGCCGGGAACCAGGCAGTCGCCCAGCGCATGTTCCACCTCCCTTGTATATGTGACACCCGCCCCTCAAACACACACACACACACACACACACACACACACACACACACAC